TTTCCCTATGGACACACCAGGTACTGCCCCTGTAATTGGCTGGTAATTATCCACCATATCACGTGTGATGGCAACTACAGCTGCACCTAGAGCTCTGTTTTATATTGCTACATATACGATGTTATTGCATAACCACAATTCTATGCCCCTAAAAATCGGCCTGTAATATCTCCATTTTCTGAGTAGGGAGTGGCTGTAGTAATCACACTCTTGATGGAATGCACCTGGCATCGTACGACCGTGAATAATTTTTTAAACCATTTTTTGCTTGTTTTTTTGGCTTGTGCCCCATGTGAACAGCAGTGAGAGTTTCACTGTAGCTTATTTTTGTCCATTGTTTTCCCCTCTTGATGTGCTGTAAGCCGGCCACCTGCGCACACCGCACCAATTCATGCAACGATAGCGTGCGTGCGTGGGCGGTTTGCAAAGTTAGCATGTGTGTGGTGACGAAACGCAACAGGACGGCTCGTCAGTTCCTTTCTCTTGTGGCTTGTAATGCCTAAAGTGCACTACAGTGACCGAATTCAGCTGGATTCAGTGAATGAGATAATAGCATGGCCATCGTCTGATAATCTGATGGCTAACCTCCTTATAAAGTTTCTGATGTAGGATTTTAGCCAGCGCAGGGGGACACACTGCTTACTTTTTGCCACTCAATTACAGTATTATAGTACCAAATAATATAGGTGTCATGTGTAGAATAATGTGCCAGTCTCACTCCACTCGCCTTTAAAAGATTTTTAAGTTAAAAGCCCTGTGCTTTATGCCATGTACGTACTTAGTGATATTAGTGCAGGTCGTAGGAAAATTATCGTGTTTGTTGTTTGTTTCTGCCACACAGAGACTCCCCCTCCAGCGTACTCCCCTGTCTCACCTACTCCCTCTGATCCCTCCATGGTTGGCAGTCCAGCCCCGAGCAGCAGTGAGCCAAGTTCCAGCCAGTGCCTGTACACCTGTATTTGGTCATAATTATTTTTCACCACTCTGCCATGGGCTGTATACTGTACATGTATATACCTCACACTGACTGTACAGTAGTCTGTGGGATTCAGTGTCCATGCACACGTGCGTGAGTGAGGCGTGCGCGTGTCTTGCAGCATTTCTGGTTCTCGATTGTATAGAGATTGTGCCTTGAGATGCCGGTTACGAATTGCATTCCTGTGTGTGTGTGACGGAATTTCTCGTCCCTCGCGGCATGTGTCTTTGTGGGTGTGAGACAGGCCTCCAGCAATGGCTCGTTTGTACGTTGGATTCAGCCAGTGGCTGTCGGGCTACACGTGGAAATGGCGTTAGACAAGGAACCTGTGGTCTCACTGAAGTTCATTACCACCTTTTTTGAGGACAGTTCGCCACCTACAGCTCTTTTTATGGCGAGCAAATACCAGCAAGTTATATAAGGGCGACTTTAAAACCACTCAATTAAATGTTCATTTGTATTATACGCATTGTTGAGTCATTGCTAATGCTGATTTGAAAATAATAGACATTTTAAGTGACTAGGTTGGCTCTCGCCCAATTACTGCGTACTTTTCACTCCTTTTATTTGTGCCCCTGTAGTTGCAGACCACCAGGCCATCTCTCCCCCATCTTCAGAAACCATGATCCTATCCCCCAGCATGGTGCCCATCAATTACCAGGAGCCTCCGTATTGGTGCTCCGTAACCTACTACGAGCTGAATCAGCGAGTCGGTGAGGCTTTCCAGGCCACCCGGACAGACGTCGTCGTCGACGGATTCACAGATCCCTCCACGACCTCGGATCGGTTCTGTCTCGGGCTCCTCTCAAACGTGAACCGGAACTCGACGATCGAGAACGTCCGACGACATATTGGGAAGGGCGTCCACCTGTTTTACGTCGGGGGCGAGGTGTTTGCCGAGTGCCTGAGCGACTATGCAATCTTTATCCAGAGTCGCCAGTGCAACCACTCCCACACCTTTCATCCTACCACCGTCTGTAAGATACCGCCCAACTGCAGTCTCAAGATTTTCAACAACCAAGAATTTGCGCAGCTACTGGCCCAGTCCGTGCACAACGGATTCGAAGCGGTGTACGAACTGACCAAAATGTGCACGATTCGTATGAGCTTCGTGAAGGGATGGGGTGCTGAGTACCATCGGCAAGACGTCACTAGTACCCCATGCTGGATAGAAATTCATCTCCATGGGCCTCTCATGTGGCAGGATAAAGTCCTCTGCCAAATGCGCCCGACCAGTGACATCAATTCAATGTCATAGAAGAATTTCTCTGTCTCTATGCACAAACACACTTTCTATTTAGTGCCCGCTATGTCTGCCTCGCCATGAAACACCCAACTGTATGTATTGGTTATGCTGTCAGTATGCGCGCACACATTTTGTGTTATTCTGCTGTAAAGTGTAATAGTTGGGAACATTAGTGTATCGTCAATTTTGTACTATTGTTCGTGTGTACTGCTGTATAAATCACTATAATCTACGCATGCGTGAATATTTAGACCATGGTCTCGTTCCGGTTCCGAATATTACCCGACCGTATTGCACCACATTACATAACGAGGTCAGAAGGTCGGGCAGAATTAATTTTCTCGTTTCTCCGCCTGTCCACGTGTGTTGCCGAGCGGCGTGAGTCTCTCATCCAGAACGGAGAAGTGCCAAATGAGCGAGAAGACATGGGAAAGAAGAAAGGGAAGAGTAAAGCACAGGATGAAGCCGGCACGTAAGTTTTTCACCGCATCTCTCGTCACGTGGTGTTGTGTAAAGCGTGTGGATTTGGTCTTGTGTGTAGGGAAGGGGCGGGAGACGCTGTGCCGAGTCCGGTTGTCGAGGAGAAGATAAGAGAGGGAGGAGGAGAAACTGTAGCTCAGAAACTAGGAGGTGGGGGAGGGAAGAAGGGAAAGAAAGACAAAAAGAAGAAGGCACTGGACGATGACTGGTTAGAGTTTAATTAGCGACGAATTACTCAACGAATCTGTGTGTAATTACAGGGACGATAACTTGACAGAGATAGCGGCCGAAGCTGGTCTGTCGGCGGAAACTGGAGGGGGGAAGGGTGAGGAACCAGTTGTCACCGACGGTCCCTCAGGGGGGGAGGGTGATGTGCCACTAGGTGGTCACAGTGGTCCTGGTGGTAAAAAGAAGAAGAAACTGAGCGCAATGTGAGTGTGGCGTTTTTCATGGAGAGATGTGAGTGTTAATCTAGCATCTCCCATGAATTTTGATATAAGAATCAAATTTCTTTGGGTAAGGTGTACATGTGTCGGCGTAGTGTGATTACTGCAAAACCCCATTTTTTGCCTCCCGGCCTGAAGTCAATGGTGGTACACTGTACGTTAAACTAACGGAATCTTTGACTATTTTCCAATCTGTGTTTGTAAATCGCACTATTTTCAGGCAGTAAATGAGGTTACATTTTTGGGAAGTTAGCAGTAGCCTGCCTTCCTTCCCCCAGGGACTATGGACTTGTTGGAGAAGAAGAGGACCAAGGGGAAGAACAGGAAATGGAGGAAGGGAAGGAGGAAGCTGTGGCCGACCAGAAACCACAGACGGAACAACCAGTTGCTAGTGGCAGTGGTGGTGGAGGGAAGGGAGGGGGTGGGGGGAAGAAGAAACGAAAGAAGAAGGATCAGATGGACTGGTAAGTAACGATTATAGTGATTGTGTGGAGTAGCCCTGGCATTTGTCATTCTTGTTTTATTCTCATGTGTACGGATGATGCTTGTATATTGTCAATTGTGTTCTGCCGTTAATCTAAATGTATGTGTAAACATTATATGTGTGTCAGGGAGGACGATATAGAGATGCTAGCAAGGGAGATCGAGGGAGGGGCTGGAGGTGGTACGGACTCGGGACAACCCGAGAAGCCAACGAGCGGCTCCCCCATTCTGGAACGGCACGGGGACCAACCAGACGAGAACGGAACAGAGACTGTGACAGGAGAAGGTGCCACGTCGTCGGCCGCAGGAGAACCAGAGACAGACACCAAGATGGTAAAGACAAAGGCAGAGAAGAAAGCGGCAAAGAAGGAACGAGACAAAAAGAAGAAAGAAGCAGCGAAACAAAAGGAAAAACCAGCTGGTCCATCTACAGAGCAAACGCCACAGACAGCAGCAGTAGAAGAAGAAACTGAAGCTGGAAAAGAAGAGAAAATGAGGGCACGGATAATCTCGCACAAAGCGAGAAAAAGGATCCGGAATTGTCGGAGCAAGTCGGAGATTTAGCAGCTGGCGAGGGAGTGGGGGAAGAGGAGGACGAAGAAGAGGGAGACGAAAAGAAGAAGAAAAAGAAGAAAAAGAAAAAGGCCGGCGGAGAGGAGGACAAGAAGAGCAAAACGAAAAAACCGGGGAAATCGGCAATTCTGAAGATGAAGGAGCAGATTGAGTTGATCCGAGCAGAGCAAAAACGCCGGGAGGAAGAGGAGCGAGTGAGAGCGCTGGCCGAGGAAGAGGCCCGCCAAAAAGCAGAGGAGGAAGCTCGATTAGAACAAGAGAGAAAAGAGAAGAGAAAGCAGAAGGAGAAGGAGAGACGCGAGAGGAGAAAGATGGAAGGAAAACCAGTCACCAAGGCCGAGAGAGAGAAGCAGGCAAAAACTCTCGCGATGCTGCAAGCAATGAGGGAGCAGGGGCTGCAGATACCGGCCAGAACTGCCGAGAAGGGAGAGGGAGGTGGGGGGAAGGTCCGGTACGGGTCTCGCCAGCGGACAAAGAAACAGCATGTGGCGGGGGAAGGGTCGGCAAAGACAGAGGAGATGGGGGCAGAGGAATCGGCCGAGGTGACCGCTGCAGAGGAGAAAGAGGAGGATGAGGGAGAGACCGAGCAGCAGCAAGATAGCGAGGTTAGAGAACATTTCCGATATGATTCAGAATAGTGTCCAAACTTATTTCAGGTAAAGCAATCGTGGGAAGACGAATCGGAGAACGAAGAACAAAGTGTGAGTATATCGTCAAGTTTCTGCGTAACCCAGCATTCAGTTCTGTTAGCACTATTGTCTCACTATTGTAGTTTCTTGTTAATGCAGTCCTCTTTTGTAACTTGCCAGAGTAACTATGTAGCAATGAGCCTCCACCAACTTTTTCAAGTGCTTGGGGATGGGAAATGGGGTGTGTCCTAATGCAGATACACTATTGTGTTAGTAGGGGGCAGAACCAAGTGTCCTTTACTGAGAAGTTTCCTTAATTTGGGAAGTTCAAACGGTTTGTACGTGTGTGTAGGTGAAAGATAATTGGGATGATGATGAGGAGGAGGGAGGGCAAGCCGCAGAGCCAGAGGGTCCATCTCTGGGGTCAGAAGCCAAAGAGACTCAGTCGCCAGAGCAGGGAGAGGAAGGAGGAGTGGAGGAGGGACAGGAGGAAGAGGAAGGGAGCAGTGAGGAAGAAAGTAGTGAGAGTGACAGTGAAGAGGAACTGACACCGATATGAGAAGGCTGAACGGAGAATAATGGTACATCTCTACAGTACAGCAGTGGCAAACTTTCGAGGGCAAACATTATTTCCCGCGCAAAAGTCCACAAAATTCGCATTGGCTGCTAAAATGTCTATATTGGAATTTACCCGCTGTTCAGCATTACACATATGTACATCTCCTGTTCACGTCTTTACCTTACATACACTTTGTCTATCTAATGTAGCGTGCATGTGCCTTTGTCTGAGCATTGCGTACTATACAGCTTAGCTAACACATCTTACGCAACTATACCCATCTATAAGCAAAATTGTGACGTATTGAACTTGTTTAACAGTTTTGTGCAAACTGCAAATATAGAAGATGTACCTTTAGACAAAATGTTTGGAGTCAGAAATTTTACGACGACAAAAATGTCACTGTAGGCACGGAGACAGAGGAACAAGGAGGGGATGTCCCTGGACTATTTGAGGTCGCCGGTGGTGTGTGTCCTCGGCCACGTTGACACGGGGAAGACAAAGATCCTGGACAAGATACGCCACACCAACGTCCAGGACGGAGAGGCCGGCGGCATCACTCAGCAGATCGGAGCCACGTTTGTCCCCGAGGATGCCATCAGGGCGCAAACCAAGATGGTGAAGGAGGTGAGTGGGGGAGGGAGGGGGGAGGGCTGGGAAGATGAAGGTTAAACTGTAGTTTCGTGTATGGAATCAAAGGGGGAGTAAATGTATGTTTTGTAAGTTCTGAAACAGACCAGTGTACAATTTATATCTAGAAATTCAGAACGCTTTTTTTAATATCTAGCTCAACATGTAGCTAGTGTAAAAGTTCCACCGTTGCCAAATTGCCAGATGCAACATAACTTTAGTTGATTGACCACTCGCTCTGTTCTGAATGTCGTCCTCCCCTTTTCCACACTGACAGTTTGTCAAGACAGAGATCAAACTGCCGGGGCTGCTCATCATCGACACACCCGGTCACGAGTCGTTCAGCAACCTCCGCAGTCGCGGGTCCTCCATGTGTGACCTGGCCATCCTTGTCGTGGATATCATGCACGGACTAGAGCCACAGACTCTGGAGAGCCTCGGACTGCTGAGGAAGGGCAACACGCCGTTCGTGGTCGCCCTGAACAAGATCGACAGACTGTTTGACTGGCGACGGATGCCGACATCCAGCGTGAAGGAGGCGGTCAAGAAACAGAACAAGAACACAAAGGACGAGTTCGACGAGAGGGTTAAAGGTGTCGTCACGGAGTTTGCTGAGCAGGTCTGGTCTCAATTTTCCAACAAATATTTTTCTTACACGAGCCCAAAAAGTTCCCCTTTCCTATTTTCTTATCAATTGATGCAAGAGCCCCAACTTTTCCACCTTTTTTGTCATTCAAGAACCCTATTTTTGTGGGGGCATAATGTGATCCTCCCAAGAAGTATCTAAATTACAAACACACTCTCCCATATACGTCCCCCAAATCCTGTACGAACTCTGATTTGTGACGAATCTCTGTTTTTTATTTCCCTGCTGATTTTCTCCCCTCCCCTCTCGACCCAGGGACTGAACGTGGCGCTGTTCTGGGAGAAAGTGGACTTCACTGACTACGTCCCCCTCGTCCCGACGTCAGCCCACACAGGCGACGGAATGGGGGACCTCATATCTCTCCTGGTCACCTACAGTCAGGGGGTCCTGGCGCCTAAACTCATGCTCAGCGAGGAGCTAGAGGCTATAGTGTTGGAGGTACGAGGCCTACTAGCTTTTTTGTAGCTCTATTAAAACTGTTTCCCACAGGATTTGTTAACCCTCGGCGCTCATGCGCAGCGAGGGTTACTGTAGTTGTCGTGTCTGTCTGTCTGTCCGCGAGCTACTCACTTCACGAGCAATCAATCACTCCACAAACGATACCACGTGTCTCTTTTTCAACTCTTGTGCCTACAAAAAATCATATTATTTAGGGGAGATAGTGAATTTGGGCGAGATATAAATAAGTGCAGCAAGATAGAAGATGTTACCATTCCATACTCCAACTGTAGTTAAAGAATTAGGGGCAGTTGGTTTGTCTCCTTTTCCACTCTTGTGCAAACAAAAAAAGCAAAATAGTTGACACCCTTATTTAGGGGGATGGCGAAATTTGGGCGAGATAGAGATAGGTGCTGCAAGATAGAAGATGTTACCATTCCATACTCCAACGTTAGTTAAAGCATTAGGGATAGTTGGTTTGTCTTTTTTCCACTCTTGTGCCAACAAAAAATGCAAATTGTTGCTCTCTCTCTCTCTCTTCATCAGGTCAAGGTTATTGCAGGACTGGGGACGACGGTTGACGTGATCCTGCGAAACGGGATCTTGAAAGAAGGCGACACTCTAGTTCTCACCGGAACGGAAGGTCCCTTCAGCACACAGGTCAGCCACATCTCGTCCTCTGTCCCTCCCTCCTCTCTCACTCCTTGGGGAGAGGGCAACTTGTCCACTGAAGTTTACACAAGTTAGAAATACTCCGCCTCCTCTACTTAACATTTGAATCGTCGCTCATGATGAAACAGCAGAAAAGGCCCTCGCTCTTTAATTATAACATCGCACTGACTTGGTGTAAACCTATTATCGTGATTACAGTGCCGTTAAACCCCCCTCGTGTGTGAAAAAATCTTCATTGCATTCGCATCTCCGCCCCTCTCCTTCTGCTGTCAGGCAAGAGCTCTACTCATGCCTCAGCCACTGCGGGAGCTGAGGGTCAAGAATGCATACGTGAACCACAAGGCCATCATAGCGTCCCAGGGAGTCAAGATCACCGGCAAAGACCTGGAGAAAACGCTTGCTGGAACCCCCATCTTTGTCGCCAAGAAACCCGACGAGATTGAAGTGTTAAAGGTAAAACACTGTCTCTTTCTCCTTTAGTCACTGAGTTTTTCTTTCTTTTCCTCTTTTGATCTTTCTCTATCACAAGTTAGTACTTTTTACTATATTATAGCGGAAAACTTTTGATTTGGTAGAATTTCACTAAGAAATTTTTCGTGGAGTGCCTCTATACAAAAATGTCAATCCCAAAAAATTTCCCCCTCAAAATTTCCCTACGCTAACAGTACATTTTCTCACTCTCTCTCTCTCTCCACTGGTATCGTAGGACGAGGCGTCAAAGGTGGTGAGCAGCATGCTGAGTGCCATCAAGCTGCAAGAGAGAGGAGTCTATGTCCAGGCCTCCACTCTGGGATCACTGGAGGCTCTGCTTGCGTTCCTCAAACAGTCCAAGATTCCTGTGAGTGGCGTCCACTGGTGTGTATATTTGGCGAGCGGGAGCGGGAGTGTGTAATATTATATGATATACCTTGTTCCATCAATGACAAATGCATACATGTATATATAGCTGATGGCTTTGGGCCTTCTCGAATTCTTTCCAATTTTTAAAAATGCCCAAAAATATTGTACATGGTTCTAATTTTCTCTAAGAATGGCCCCAAGTTAGTCTGAGTCTGTAATCTATTGGATGACCCCTGTCAACATACTAGTAGGTTTTGGTTTTCAATTTCAGTACTGTGGTGTTAACATTGGTCCGGTACACAAGAGGGACGTCATGAAGGCCTCGGTGATGCTGGAACACGACAGCCAGTAAGACAGCAAATGCCTGTTCTTCCCACCTCCTATCTCCTTTAATATAGTATCATACCTCTTACATTCTCTTACAGTTTAGCTCCATTCATTCTCTTCAAGTTTAGCTCCATTCATTTCCAGTTTAGCTCCACCGCCGTGGTATATACTGCTCACACTCACTTATCTCTCCCCTTTTCCTCCCTCCCTCCTTTCCTTCCACCAATTCCCCTCTCACTTCATCTCTCCCTGCCCCCCCCCTGAAGGTGGGCCGTTATTCTGGCATTTGACGTGAAGGTGGAGAGAGAAGCGCAGGAAATTGCCGACAATGTTGGAGTCAAGATCTTCACTGCCGACATCATCTACCATCTCTTTGACAACTTCCTCCTGCACCGAAAGGTACACACACACATACACACACACACACGGAAGGAGATAACTTTTTTAAAGCTGAAGACGGTGAAACTATTGGTGTTCTGTATACATTAGGAGTTGCATGATCGGCAGCGAAGACAGCACGAGGCCATGGCCATCTTCCCCTGCAAGCTACGAATACTGCCAAACTGCGTGTTCAACACACGCGACCCCATTGTGGTGGGCGTGGTCGTGGAGGCGGGGCTTATCAAGAAAGGCACTGTCCTGACCATACCCAGCAAAAGTGTAAGTTAGAGAATGACATTACTTATGTGAGTGGACGGGTTCGAAATTGGCAGGATTTTCCAAGTCCCTTATCAGAGGTTCCATTACCATTACGATTGGACATAATTCACAAAAGCAATGTTTCCACCACCTCAGTTTGTCGATGTGGGAGTGGTGTCGAGTTTGGAGGTGAACCACAAGCAAGTGGACATCGCACACAAGGGGGTGGAGGTCTGTATCAAGATAGAACCCACCGGAGGAGAGGCTCCGAAACTCTACGGACGCCATTTTGACCACACCGATCTACTTGTCAGCAAGGTGGGGACGAACCCTCTCTCTCTCACAGCTGCAAATCATCGTCCGTTTTCACGACACTCAGTAGCTCTCCTCTCAATCTGTCTCTAATTGTCAATCGAAGCAAGCCAACCTGGTCGTCTGAATTTTCCTGCACATTTTCCTGCAAAATTGCGCTGTCCATAAAACCGCTGATATCATATATAATAATTACTCACATTTGCTTCCCATAAGCCATAATATTATAGTAACTGATCTCTGTTTCTGGTTCCCAGGTGACTCGGGAGTCAATCGACGCCGTGAAGAAGTACTTTCGCGAAGACCTCCAAAAGGGCGACTGGCAACTGTTCATTGAACTCAAGAAAATATTTCAGATCATCTGACAACGATTGTGTCATTTCTGTTCAACTCAATATTATTGTAAGGCATGAGTAGCTTATTATTTTACTCCATAGGCTCACTACATTAGTTAACTGTCAAAGACGCATGCACCTACCTAAAGTCAACTTAAATTATTGCGCCCAAAGGCGGGTGCTATGCTATCATAGTCATTTCTTGTCATTTCCTATATACTGCTTGCTGTTGGAGTGAACTTCCAACTTCTCCAACATTTCCGAGGATCATTCCTCCTGTGAAGATACCAACATTTCTTTGCAAAACCTCTAGTATTTAATTCATTGCCTTAAATGTACGATACCTTATTCAATCTACTATGAGCTGCCCTATGTATTATAATAATTATTATAGTCCCTCCTGAAAATATTTGTTGCTGGATATGCACTATATACACATACCAAAGTGTTCACATCCCCTGAATGCCCTGATTCGTAATTTCATACTTTTCGCCCTTTACCCTGGGGAAGTAGCTTAATTGTGTGGGTATGCAAGGTTTGCAGTATATACCTGGCCGGGTCAGTGATCTGGTAGATAACTCCAGTAGCTGGAACACCAGGGGCATAAGAAGGTATAGACGTTCCCAGTAGGTACACCTCTCCTCCATCGTCCTGTCCAAACGCCAGCACAAACGGCGGTGGTGTGCTGGCACCAGGACACACCTGACTGTCCCCGACACACAGCTTCTGTCGCTGCCATTCTCCCGATGTCTTGTTCTCTCTCAGAGCCAGCAAACCACTGAAAAGAGTTTGAGAGACAAGAGACCACATTAGGAGTCTGACAGGGTTTTGTGCTGAGTGCAGCAGACATTCTACATAAAGCCCTGAAGGCAAACAAGCTGCCTATCAACCAATGAACTAGCATTTTTGTGTGGGAAAAGTTCATGCATTTTGACAATTGACAATGACATTGACTATCTATACTACAATAGTGAACACGCTTGAGTGACCCCATGGAACTCTGTCCAAGAAGTACACCACATTCAGTGAGTGAGAGTATAGCAGTTCCCTGTATCGTACCCTACCAGCTGTGTTGCTCTGGTAGAAGTCTCACCTAACCCCACCTAGGGCAGCTATTTTGCCTTTTCTTTACTTTGACCTCCTCTATGACCAGATGATTGCATTAACTCACTCACCCTGTGAAATCCCCATAGATATAGACTCCATTGAGGTTTGGGTGGAGACATCCGCGATACACGTGGCCCCCAATAACTGCGATCCCTTCACTCCCATACTCATAGGCATCAATTGGGAACATGGTGTTTGGCCGGTCTGTTTAGTGCACAACTCCAATTAGGACTGGACATAGTCTATCACACCGATACATTTCAAGTTGCATGCAATTTAATTCATCTCATGCAACAAAGTTGAATTGTGTATCGTGTAGCTAGAGTGTTGGTTTACCTTCATCGCAAGTTTGATTGTCTGCTCAACATACATATCCCTCAAACGTGGGGTACCCGTAGTCACCTCCTTTCTCTACGATATTCACTTCTTCGGCAATCTTCGACCCCACATCAGGGCAAAACACTCTCCCGGCACCGTCTCCTGTCTCTGGGTCACCGAGGTCAGCCGAACATCTCCAGGGCATTCGAATCCCAGAAGCGTAGATCTCGGGTAGGGCTGAGGGGTCATCGATGTAGGGGTTATCTGGAGGAACTGCATACCCTCTTCCCTCTTCAGGATTGTCCACATCAAACCAGAGAATTTTTCCACGATAACTTGACCTTGTGAATACGATTGCATAATGTACACAGTGGTGATTGCTTAGGTAGATAGCAGGAAGTTTTATATACACCATGAAGATAACCTTTGCTTGAGAATTAAAATTGGGAACTTTGTGATAATTATGTTTGGTGGGATCATAATTATAATTATTATATAGCAGTCATAGGGTTGGAAAAGAAATTTGTCCTAAGGCGCTGCAGAAAATTCGTTGGGCTTCCCACGAGAAGTCTATGCCGACGCTCTGATAATTAGCTACGATGACGTGCCGAATGACTTACAGATTTCTTGACAACACGCCGTCTCCTTCGATTACTTCTCTTTCCCCTATCCCCAAATAAAGGTATCCGTCTTTGAAGAAAAATCCTCCGCCCGTCAGTTCTGGGATGTTTTCAGCTAGACTCAGGTACAGCACGGAAAATATCGGTCGCTCGGAATCATAGTCGACTTTATTTGGGTTGTCTCTTGCGATGCGAAACTCGGTTATATTCATTGAGAATAGATCTGCAGTTGTGTTGTTGAAATCTTTCACTAGTCTGTAGGTGTAGTAGATGAACAGACGGCCGTTCTGGCGGAACTGAGGGTGGAAGACAATGTTTAGGAGCCCGTCGTCTCCCTTATGAGCCATCAACAAGGACGTTATGTTCAGAAACGGCTCCTCGTGAAGGACGCTGACCTTAGGGCCGTTGGGCAGCGCTCTTCGCTCCTCGAGTATTCTTACAGTACCCGTCATCTCTACGACGAATAGTCTGTCGGAGCCATCTCCAGCACCGACTATTGTGAGCGGTTGCCGCAGTCCAGAGGCAACTGGGACGAGGCACACGCAGCCAGTTTGTTCGGGCGGCGGTGGTGGGGGAGCGACGAACTGACCCTCTAAACTCGTCACGTCTGGGTAGCAATATGGAGGGTCGGACGCGTATCGCTCACAGAAAGCCGCTGCATCACGCTCCAAAACCTCGTTGCTATTAGGGAACTTGGACACCAGTCCTTGCCTCCATGGGTGCAGCTTGAACATCCGCAGCAGCGAAAATCGGCATTTGATGTACGTTTCCACGCAGTAGTCGCGGCACAGCGGGATTTCTTCGTTCTCCGGGGCGGTGTCGCTGCGGAAGATGCGGCCTGCGTGCGGGGAGCACATCAGACAACTCACATTTCTGGTATATTCGCTGCAAATCTCTCTTTCTTCGGTAGTTCCAAGTCGGATTTGAGCGTCGGCCGCCAATTTGCTGGCCTGTCTCTCGCCCCTCTTGCCACAGCAGCCGAATCCTCCGTACTCGGGACAGTAGGAGGCCTTGGAATACTCGAACGGAGCCTGTAGGTCGCGGCAGATGGGCTGAGCGCAGGCGAAGTGGCATGCACAGGCCACAACTGATAGGAAGACGCTTAGATTCATGTTCCGAAAATATTGTCAGGGGCGTAGGAAGCTTTAAAAAATGTTCCACAGCCCTATTTCAGTCTGCTTACAGGGGGGCCACAACGGCTAGGCTGTGGGCCTTTCGAGCAGGCCGCTATGAAACGCGCGAGCGCGCGTGCGTGGGGGTTCACGTACGTACTACGTACGTACATAGCTAGAGGGCCACGCGCGCAAAGTGCCCGCCGCGCCCCCCCACTAAAAAAATTCGCACGCATGCGCGACTATACAGAAAACTCTCGGAGAGACTGCCCCCTCCCGCCTACAGTATCAACTGAACGCACTTGCCCCGCGCCGCTCGTAACCATATGACACAAGAGACGTAATATGCACCGCTGAGTGTGATACTGCGGATTATATAACGATCTATATATGCACACGCTATAAAAGTGAATTTTGAGAAAGCAGAAAGCACCACTGTAACCTGACTTGATGGTGAATGGCGCAGACTTGTTCGTAATGGCAGACATTCGAGGTGGTGCAGCAGAAAAGGGCAGAACTGGTTACAACAGCAGTGATATTGCCCTAGCCGAATCTACAGCGGTACTTCTAGCCCCGTTTCCTGCAGCTCCGCCGCTCCAGCGCTCGAATTCAGTATTCGACACCGAACGCAAGCAGCCACGCCATTGGTTGCGGCGCTCCCTACCACCCGCTAAAAGAGAGCGGCACAGGGAAAATGCAAAGTCATCAGGGACACCAAAGGAAGAATATAGCGTAGAACCGAAGATATCGCGTTCAAAATCGGCGAACTTCAAGCGGTCTACGGCGGACCCGAGCGTACCCCGATCCCTATCGTTCGCGAGCGGTAGTCGAGTGCGCAAAGCCCGCCGAGCGCAGGAGGAGGACACGGATGGAGAACTGGGATTCCTCAGCCTGTATCGGAGAGCATCCATTCGCTCTATTCTACCAGTTGTGCAGCAGATAAAGGACACCGAGTCGCGGAAATGGACTGTTGCAATATTTTCACTGGTAGCGGCGATCTTGGCGTCTTTGCGAGGATTCACTCTCGCATTCAGTTCCAACGCTACTCTGGACCTTACTGGAGCTGTTGAGCAACTGCCATCAAATTACCTCTTCTCAACGGCTCTCATTTCCATATTTGCGGTAAGGTTTGGTATAGCCCACCAGTTCACTTTACACTTATCAATTACTCGGTTGAACACACCGCTATGCAAGTTTATTTTCCTTTGGAATAATCCAGGCTCTCTCCCAGGTTGGAGCACTGTGTGGGGGACCAGTTGGTGGTTTTGTAGCCGACCGTTTTGGCCGAAAGTTCTCCATGCTATTCTCCGGGTTGCCCTACCTTGCCGGGTACATGACTATTAGCTATGCTCACTACTCCATCTCTGCAAGCGTTTTCAAGGCTCTTCTGTTGACAGGACGATTCGTGACTGGAATCGGGATGGGATGGGCTTCTGCTGTTGTGTCTGTAAGCTTATCAATTATGCATAGCTAATTCTTAGTCAATAACATACATGTATGGCTAAATTTTTCTCTATAATACTTCATGGACACTCCTTAGTGGGATTACACAAAATCACCTGATGTATTTCATTAGCATGAGTATAGCTTCTGCAATTAGTATGTAATTTACTGTAGCTCTAGATTTACATTGCTTCTCTATGATACTTGTATACACTTTATTATCCGTAGGTTTACATTGCTGAAATTAGTCCAGTTAAGTTGAGAGGCGTCTTCACTTCCCTTAATGAGATAATGCTCACCATCGGCATAATATTGAATTTCGGTGTGGGATCGATCGAAGACTTCCCCTATTTCCATGTGTCACTTGTGGCAGTTGGAATATTGGCGCTGTTTGAGGCGACAATGGTATGGTTACCCGACACACCACGCTCGCTGCTCTCCAGGGGACTTGGTGATGGTGCCGAGAGAGCTCTCCGTCTTCTGAGGGGCAGCAAATACAACATTGACGGAGAGTTGACTGAGATAAGAGTCTCGATTCTGTCTCGGGGAAAGAAGGGAGAGAAGAACAGTGTGTGGAGAGAGTTTAAGAAGATAGATGTGTTGGTTCCCTTTGTCTATGTCCTGGTGGTTCTGTTTTTTGCTCAGGGAGGTGGGATTAGTGCTGCTGCGTCGTATGCAACCCCCATATTCTCTGATGCTGGAGTCGATAATCCTCGAGTGACGGCCATTTATGCAGTCGGTGTTGCCAGTTTGCTGGGAAACATTGCGTCTTTTTTCACAGTGGATCTGCTGGGTCGTAAGATTCTTCTCATAGCGAGCGGAGTTGGAATGGTGATTGGATCCATCTTGCTTGGGACGCACTTTTACATCACCAGATCTTCTGCATGTCCCACTGCTCTCAACTCAACACTGAATGCAATGGGACACATTGAAGAACCGTGCAATGCACACTTTGCTCCTCTGGCAATAGTCAGCCTTGTACTGTTTCGATTCTTCTACTCCATCGGTTGGGGTCCAATCCCCTGGCTCTTGCTGTCTGAACTCTTGCCACTTTCTGTGCGAGGGATTGCCAGTGGCATGGCCATATTTATCACTTCTACCACAGCAGCTCTTGTGAGCGGAGTCTACCTGCAGTACTCCCAGCTGGTGCAGCCGTGGTTCGCAATGTGGACCTTCTCTGTCATCAATCTCGCAGCGGCCGTATTTGTGTTTGTCTTTATTCCAGAGACGATGGGGAAGAGTCTGGAAGAGGTGGAGAAATGGTTTGAAAATAACAAGATTTCACTCTTAGCTTCATGTAGGTCTGAAGACGATGAAGTGAAGAATGATGTAGTGTGACTCTTGTTTCCCTCATTTTGTTTCTCCCGCGCCCAATTAAATATTGCGCATGCGCACATAATTTAATAACCATCGCGCAAAATTGCAATGAGCGAGCTCCACCCACGTTTCGTCACTCATCCCTGGCCGGGGAGTGTTTATAGCTAGCTAGGGACGTCGGACGGCGGGGTTAGGAAAGCAGCCGAAAATGTACTCGGCCGCGTTACCCGTTCTCCTGGCGTCCCTGCTGCCGTGTTTCTGGTCTCACCCGCAGTGCCTGGACTCCCAGCCGCCGTTCCAAGAGAACTCTCTCTCCTACTGCAAGGAATACGCCGAGTTCGGCTGTTGTGTTCCCGCCGACGAGACGACTATCAGGGATAAAGTCGAGGCCCAACTGTCCGGCATGTCTGAGTTGCAGCGGGAGAACTGCGAGACGTACCTCAAGAACATTAGCTGTCTCCCCTGCTCGCCTTACGCAGCACACATCTACGAGACTGAGGGAGGCGGCGAGCCCAGAACGTTTCCCGAACTGTGCGGCAGCTACTGTCGAGATGTCTACGTCAGCTGCCGCACTCCTCTGCTGGATCTACTAGGCCTGCGACCCTGGGAGAACGGGCTCGTCTCGGAACAGCCTGAGACCCAACAAAAACTCGAAGAAGACGCGGAAACTTTTTGCAAAGAGGTAATCCCAGAGGACTCTTCCTATTGCTACCCCGATGTGTTGGACGGTCCAGAGGTTGAGGGATTCAGTACGGAGCAGGTGGGAGAGCTGAGCTGCCTCTGTGGAGAGCCGGTGGCCAGAGGATTGCGTAATCCTCTGGCAGCCGTCCACGCAGGAGACGGATCAGGCAGACTGTTTATAGTGGAGCAGATCGGAGTCATCCACATCCTCGACAAAGACCGTAACCTCCTCCCCCAACCTTTCCTCGACATCACTGATGGAGTGATTCCCATCTCACGGAGAGGAGATGAGCGGGGGCTCCTGGGATTAGCGTTTCATCCAAACCACTCTGAGAACGGACTGTTCTACGTCTATTACTCCACTCTCATTGACAGAAGTCACTACAGCATTGTCTCAGAGTTCAGAGTCAACGCAAGTGGCGGCAATACCACTGATCCTGATTCAGAGAGGGAGATACTGAGACTACTTCAGCCCTACTCCAATCACAATGGAGGACAGTTGCTCTTCAAGGACGGGTACCTTCTCGTTTTTCTCGGAGACGGTGGTCTCGGAGGTGACCCGAGCAATAATGGATTGAACCTGTGAGCTGTGTTTGCTGTTGTCAACAAACATACTGTTACCTGTTCTTCTATATGTTTTCTGTAGGGGTACCCTTCTAGGGTCAGTCGTGAGGATTGACGTGAATGGAAGAGACTCGGGGCTAGAGTATGCCATTCCTCCTGATAATCCTTTTGTTGGTGATGCCAATGCCAGAGGCGAGATATATGCCTATGGTCTGCGCAACCCCTGGAGATGTTCGTTTGACAGAGGAGACCGCGACACTGGCCACGGAGCTGGGAGATTGTTCTGTGGAGACGTGGGGCAAGACGAATTTGAAGAGATCGACATTATTGAAAAGGGCGGGAATTACGGCTGGAGGGGCTTTGAAGGCAGCGAATGCTTCGACCAAAACATCTGCAACTCATGTGAGCTACTCAATATCCTGTCACAAGATACTTTACTCCCAAAAATGGTGTGATGTTGTGTGTATAATATATCTGTTTGGTAATTGCTGCAGTGTCTGAAGCCATTCCCCCCATCGATGCCTATCCTCATTCACCCTCATTTGGGATGTCAGTCACCGGAGGCTACATCTACAGAGGATGTTTGTTTCCCAATCTTCAGGGCCTCTACATCTATGGCGACTACTCTACTGGGTGAGCTCCTCTCCTCCCTTGGCTATATATATTATCTCTGTCAAGTTTGTTTACTACTAATGCTGTGTACATATGTAGCTTCTATACTATAGGACTTATGTAGCTATAGGGTGTATGTTTTGTGTCGCCATATCATCCAAGTATGTTTACTGCCAAAGCGCTACCAATGACTGGGGGTATATGGTTGAAGTATTGTGATGCGCTGTGGGATGGTGGTGATTGCAGTTGGCATTGAGAGCCTCATGTTTCCATCACTGCCTATAGTTCTCTGAATTGCCCTTACCATAACGGATTCCAATCTCACTATCATTATACACATAGAGTGTCTGAGAGTGTCCATTTGTTGGCCTCACTCACTACTCAATAGAGGCTAATGGGACTCTCCTCTCAACCATAGTAGCATCCTCTTTACCCTACACAGTCTTCTTTCGTATATGGACATTGTCTCTCGGGGCTGCATATTTGGATGACTTATAGCATATATACTGGTAATAATAAGGGATAGCTATGCATCACATGATCTTATTGGTTGTTAAAATCCTTGCTTGTTTAGTTAATTGATGAGTTATGCGGTGACATGGTGGTGTAAAGTAATGAAAGAGTTGTGGTTTTGTTCCTGACAGGAGAGTGTTTGCTCTGAAAGAGGAGGAGGGGGAGGACGGAGGTGTGAGGTGGGAGAGGTCTGAACTGTGTATGGGAGATGAGATGGTTTGCACCGACGGTCTCGTGGGTAAAGAGAGAGAGAGACACATCCTCTCGTTTGGAGAAGATGAGGATGGAGAGATCTATATTCTTGTCACTAATGATGCCTCTCCTTCTAACAACGGCGGAGTTGTGTATCATTTGGTCGACCCCTCCAGGTAATTCACACAGATCTATAGCAATGTTGGTTTAATGTCACAATTCTTGTGACTTGTTGCGTGGAGGTGTGAATATAATGTCTATCCTTGAATAATGTAGAGAGTGGTGTGAATTCCATACTAATGGAGAGAAATTACTGTTGTACCAAAAATTAATTGGCAACACGAGGAGTTTACTATGAACAAAATTGTATAAGTTTCTCATAATTCAGTATTTGCTCTATTATTATATAACAGGAGAACAAGTCCCAATGTGTGTGATGGTAACCCAATTAATGGAGGGGCAGAGGTGGACGGTGAGGAAGGGACTACTTCTGGTGCAGCTTCAGTTACTACCACAGACGATACTGGTAGAAACACTGCAACAACTGTCGTTTCCAGTTTCATTTCAATCATGTTTTTAATCCTGTTATATAGCTCATTGAATTTTTGGTGATGTGTGTATATATATGTGCCGCCTTCAACGCTCGCGGCACAAACGTTGTGCGCATGCGCACATTCTCGGCGACTGCAACCGGAACCTTGCTTCGAGTGTGCAGTTCGCACCGGCAGGAAGATGATTTCCTTGCGAGTGTTGTTGTTTTCTCTTTCGCTCTGCGCGTTCCTACGCGTAGCTTACGGACACCCACAATGTTTGGACTCCGAGCCACCGTTCGCCGACCCCGACATGACGGTCTGCGGTGAGTACGCGGACTTCGGTTGCTGCACGCGGCGACTCGACAGGAGAGCCGGACTGGACGCCCGCCTGGCGCTGGATAAATTCTCCTCCGACCAAGACCGTGAAGTATGCATGGACTACATGAGGAACATCAGTTGCCTCGCCTGCTCGCCGTACGCGGCACACATCTTCGAGACCGAGGGAGGGAGCGAAAGAATTGCCTTCCCGCAGCTCTGTAGCAATTACTGCGTAGAGGCGTATGTCAAGTGCCACCTTGGGATGATGCGGCTCTTCAAGCTGTTTCCCTGGAGAGATGGGCTCGTGGAAAAACGGCCCAAAACACGGGAAGCTCTCCAAAGAGACGCTGCTGTATTCTGTAACCATTACATCCCTCAAGATTCACCTTACTGCTACCCCGAGGTCTTGGACGGGCCAGAGATTGATGGATTCAGTACGGAGCAGGTGGGAGAGCTAGGCTGTCTCTGTGGAGACCCGGTGGCCAGTGGATTGCGTAATCCTCTGGCGGCCGTCCACGCAGGAGACAGATCAGGCAGACTGTTTATAGTGGAGCAGATTGGAGTCATTCACATCCTCGACAAAGACCGTAACCTCCTCCCCCAACCTTTCCTCGACATCTCTGATAAATTGATTCCCATCTCACGGAGAGGAGACGAGCGGGGGCTCCTGGGATTAGCATTTCATCCAAACTACGCCACAAACGGTCTCTTTTATGTCTACTACTCAACTCGAGTGTCCTCTCCCTCTCAACATTGGAGTCGAGTCTCTGAGTTCCAGGTCAACACCACTGCTGACCCTAACCTGGCAAACAGAGACTCTGAGAGAATCGTGTTTCAAGTGAGGCAACCGTACTCCAACCACAATGGAGGGCAGCTCCTTTTCAAAGACGGATATCTCCTCGTGTTTCTTGGTGATGGTGGGTCTGCTAGGGATCCTCAGGGCCACGGGCAGAATAAGTGAGCCAAAAACCATGCATTGTGTGGTTTTCACTGATTTGCTTGATCACTAGGGAAACTTTGCATGGGTCAGTATTGAGGATTGACGTGAATGGAAGAGACTCAGGGCTCGAGTATGCCATTCCACCTGATAATCCTTTTGTTGGTGATGCCAATGCCAGAGGCGAGATCTATGCCTATGGTCTGCGCAACCCCTGGAGATGTTCGTTAGACAGAGGAGACCGCGACACTGGCCACGGAGCTGGGAGATTGTTCTGTGGAGACGTGGGGCAAGGCACATTCGAGGAGGTGGATATCATTGAAAAGGGTGGGAATTACGGCTGGAAGATATTCGAAGGTAACATGTGCACATCATCGTCAAGTTCAACCTGTTCATCGAGTAAGTTTTAATGACGTTTATTGGAGAATCACGGCTGAATTGAATCCTTTTCTCAGTTCCCGATGCGATTCCACCAATTCACGACTACCCTCGGTCAGTGGGTGTGTCCGTCACCGGAGGCTATGTCTACAGAGGGTGCACCTTCCCCAACCTCCGAGGTCTCTACATTTTTGGAGATTATGGTTCTGGGTGAGTGGGATCTAAAGACTTTTTTATAGAGCTTCCACCTGTGCTAGCCCAGCTGTATACTCCAGATCATAACACTCTGTGGTTTACGAAACACTCATTAGCGTGACCAAAAGGTGATGTGGGTGGTAGGTAAACATTGGTTCCAGGTACCTACATTATCTAACTTGGAGCAAGTAGCTATATATCACTATTGTATAAGAGCTGAGGAGCTCATAGCATGCAAAAATTAAAGTGGTTGAGACAATTACTCTATCTAAGTCAAGTACACAAGTGATATTATGTCTCGCTATAACAGGAGACATCAAGACGGTGGAATTTTTATAGAGTGATCTTTAACCTACTGTATATACTGCAAAATTCAATATTAATTTTGTTCTCTCATAATAATATTATTCATAACCTCCACAGACGAATGTTTGGATTGAGGGAGAATGTGACTAGTGGAGAGTGGGCACATAGTGAGCTGTGTATGGGAGACGAGGGGACGTGTACTGGTGGTTTGGTGGGAGCCGATAGACAGAGGTTTATCCTCTCATTTGGAGAAGACGAGGAGGGAGAACTGTATGTGCTCACCAGCTCCACAGTCAATCCCAGGCAAAGTACTGGTGTAGTTTATCGCATCGTCGACCCTTCCAGGTAAGCTAGGGTGTATAAATAGTTGCTAATTTTGCATAATTTGTGTTTTTATCATTACAGGAGATCTTCACCCAGGGACTTGTTAGCTTAGTATTATTTTTGCCGCTGAACTAATTGCGTCGATGTAAAGCGCAGTGCTAACGATGTAATGCGCATGCGCGTATTGATAAGACGATAGGGGGCGTGGCTGTGAGTCAAACATTCGAAATGGGGAGCAGCACTGACCGTCTCTACCGTGGCCTACTGGCATACGCTCGCTTCTTCTCCAAGGGTTGGGGTCCCGTGGACACGTACGAGAGGTGAGACGACTCACACGATGGAAGAAAATGAAGTAACCATCACCACTCGGCTACATGGAAACCTTATTGTAGCTAGAGCTGTGTGCTTGTTCATCTGTTTAGAGTAGAATACAGCTAGATACACATGTAACGACTCATCGGAGATATTCTATGATGGTCTCCAGGTTCCTGGACCATCGCTCCGTTCTCTTCAGTAGAGAGGGCTGCGCGGAGATTCTCCGGCGACACCCGCAGAAAGTCAGAGTGCAGAAGGCGAGTCAGAAACGCTCCTCAGCTTCGTGTTTACGTCACACTGCCCCCCGTGTAACTGTACCAGGTGAGAGAGATGAAGGAAGGTGTGGTGTATGAAGGGGAGTTTTTCTCCCCTCTGGCCGCCTATCTACCCGGACTGCTGCCGAAGCAGTCCGAGGTTGCCAGGTACGTTTAGATACCCAGCCTCCTGCACCCACTGGGCGAACATTCAGCAGGCAACGAACAATCTACCACACACTCCCTCAGTAGCTATATTGCAAGATGCCATGCACTATAATGCGTATATGCTGTTGATACTAAAATGTAGCTAAAACCTTTTGCTGTGTGCAGCTTCCAAGAGTCTATGCATTATTGGTGTTGTTGCGTGCATACAGCCGCTCCCCATAGAGCTACATAGCATGTCAACACCATCATGTGACGTGTGCACATTCTGTGGTATGATTGACACTAGGTTTGAGCTGGTACTGCCACAGTCTTGGCTGGAGACCGACAGAAAACCTGTCTACATTCATCTGGCAGGAACCGGAGACCACGTAATACCACCAACCTCTTTAATATTTTTATCGATTTGTTTTCTTTCCTTGGTAGTATTTTTGGAGACGAAGGTTTATGACTGTTTTACCCACGCTGAAATCTTCAGGGATAGGGGCAGTTAGTTTGGAGAATCCTCTCTACGGAAGTCGGAAGCCTCCAGAACAGACGTGGGGTTTAGTATCATACAGTGGAGCCCCCACCCCTGATTAATGAGGACACCTCTCTATTAAGGACTGTTATTTGCATGTAATGAACCCCGAAATAAGGACACTTTTTGGTTGGTTTGTCCCATTGGTGTCCAGAGTTCCACTGTATATTTACCTCGGTGTGCAATCTGTTTGACGATGCAGCCGCTCCCAGGTGCAGTATGTCTCCGACCTGTTTGTGATGGGGATGGCCTTGATTCTGGAGTGTATGGTCATCATGCACTGGCTGGAGGGGCGGGGTCTGGGACCTGTGGGGCTCACTGGATTCTCAATGGGTGGACATGTCAGTACTACATGCAGTGGAACCTCCAATAACATGAACATGAACACAAAATACACAAGTCGAGTCACAATAAAACAGTGGAACCTCCGATAAAGAGCATGATGATTCACAAAAATAGAGTGGAACCTCTGAATAAAGTACACACAGGCACTTTATCACCTCTTTAGAGGTTTAAAACTTCATTAAAAGTGTGTCCTGATAGTGATGCAGTCAGCATGTTCTAGCTTTTATATACAAGTTCTGCGTCTGCAAAAACTGATGATCGCTAATGGTCCACTCTAGGCAGGCCACCTGTTGCAAAGGAGTGTTTTTACTGTGGTTTTCATTGTATCCAGAACTGTTCACTGGCAGCAGCTCTGTGGCCCAAGGCAGTGGCGGCAGTTCCATGCCTCTCCTGGTCCACTGCCTCCAGTAGCTTCACCGAGGTGAGCCTCTCGCTACGGTAGTTCTAGTGACAGTTCTACAGTGGAACCTCCGAACCAGGGACACTGTGGGGCCAACAATTTTGTCCCTTGTAGAGAGGTCGTCCATATCTCAGAGGTCAAATTATAGTATTAGCATGGGGGGTGTCCTTTGTAGAAAGGTCGTCCTTATCTCGGAGGGTCCCTTATCAGAGGTTCCACTGTACATGCATTCACTGGTTCACCATTTGTGTGAATAAAACTTTCAGTTCACTTATGTAAGACCATTTGTGTACACTGCTCGATACCGATGTGAAAAGATATTCAGCGCAACCCATTTCGTTTAAAACGCTTCCCTTTTTTCGTTTCTCCACTTCTTTTTTTCCCGTCTTCTTATTTGTTGTCTTTTTCATCTCGTCTTTCCCCGGAAGGGTCTGCTGTCAGGGACTGTGTGTTGGGATGTCCTGGATGCTCAGCTGAGGGACTGCTACAGTGGCAGAGACGAGAGGAGGAGGCATTGTTTCATGAGAATCGGGGAACTAGAGACGGCAGTGCAGAGCAATCTCAGCAAACCCACACTTCTCTCAAGCCTATCTTTCACCAGAGAAGAGGCCAACTGTACTAACAGAGAAACTCCCAGTGGACCAAGTAGTGAGACTACTAATGAGCTGGGCAAAAGCAGAGAGGTAGCTGGCGAGACTGAGCCGCATAGAAAGCTGTGGTGGCTCAATTCGGCTATAAAGGCGACCACGGGAGACGACAGAACATTGTTCTACTCTCCTGAGGACCAGTCACACAGAGGGAGTGGGTTAGAACAGTCGGTGTCAAGAGGGCAAGTCATGACCGCCAGTTTCCACGGGTTCTCCTCTCTACTACACCTCGTCCAGCAGTCTGTAACGGGACACAAACGAAGGGGCAGGAGGGGGGCGAAGGAGCCAGTGAGAGGCAGGAGACACCATCCGCAGCCGGAGTTGGTAGAGACCATGAGAATGGTCCTGGATACGTGGACTCATCACCAGAACTTTCCTATTCCCCTGGCTCCTAGTCTGGCCCACTTTGTGACTGCCAGAGATGATGCTTACATTCCTCGCAGACACATACCCGACGTTCGTTCCCTGTGGCAAGGTGGGTGGAGCTAATGTTATCGTGTGATTGTCATGTGACACTGGTGGCTCACCAGGTTGTGAAGTGGAATATGTTTCTGGAGGTCATATTAGCACCACCCTCGTGAAACAGGGGACTGTTCAGTAAGTATTTCAAATTTATGTCACTCTCTATATATTCTCTCCCTATCTCTAGTGAGGTACTGAAGCAGGCAATGGAAAGAGCTTGCCACCATCAATTCAGCTGACAACCACTAGCAAATATATACTTCATTACCCTCGGCGCGCATGCGCAGCGAGGGTTACAGTATATACTTGGTTTGTCCGTCTGTCTGTCCGTCTGTTACCACGTTTTCTGCCACCACGCGCAACAAACAGGTAAAATAGCGACACCAACGGGTTCAGCGCTACACTGGCTTGATTTTAAAATGGCGATTTTCGCAAAAGTGAAGTTATGGCGTGAAAAACAAGTGAACAAGCCAATTGCTAATTAGCACTAGCTTACCTCGACCTGATCCGTGTACCTCGGAGGCACAAGAAGGCACAACGAAGGGCCTCCCGCATGCTATCTACTACTGTAGCTAGCCCGTGTCAGACTCTCCGCGAGCTACTAGCGGGAGTACGTATACTAGTATAATAGGCCCAGCCCATCAATTAGCGGCACCGCGCATGCGCAGTTCGCCGAGGGTTTGCACTTTAGTGCTGCTTTTCATTTACGCTGTTCCCATTCAAGTAATGGGTGGCGGTCTGATGGATAAGCACCCCATCTCTTGATCGTGAGGTCCCTGGTTCGAATCCCGGGTGTGTATATACGCCTTTTTTTACAATGATGTAATAGGAGTGTTGGTATATATGGAACGTTTTTTCATCACATCTCAAGGCCAGCCCGAGTGGCTAGGTGGTTAGAGTCGTGGGGACTGACACCATAGGTGCCCGGTTCGTATCCCGATCCCGCACTAAAGTGTCAGGTGGTCCAGAGCATTGCTGGGAACAGCTCTGGTTCCTCCCCTTACCCACAAATCTACCACTGACCCACGTTTCTCGAAGGGCAGCGTACAGTTCGGCATAGCACTGCGTCCGTAGACGTCTGTCTGGAGAGATGAAGGGCTGGGTGTTTTTTCAACCTTAGTTTTTTTTTGCACTAAACAAACAATCCACGGGTAATACGAAAATTAAATAGAGAGATAAAAGGTTGGCAATTTTTCAACCTTATATATTTTTTACCCTCAAACAGAAATAGGGCTGGCCATTTTGGAAATGGTGCATAACATGCTGTTCTTTTTGATGCATGGTCAAGACCATCAATTGTGGTGGTGCCACACTTGTGTATGGGTTCCACATTTCTATAGAGTGTGCCGAGGGTTTGCACTTTAGTGCTTTTCATATTAGCTCAGTACAAGTTGTATATAATTATATATTCTTCATATTTTCCGACTGTTAAAATGGGAGGCATATTATGCACAGATATTTCACTTGTGTATCATATCATGGCTTGGTATTACCGTTTTCGACATAGTAATAAATTATGTATATACATGACTACTCTTATACTAAAAGGTCTTTCAGATTGCGACTTACGTATGAAAAATTGCGGGGACTGTGAAGGAACACAACCATGAAGATGGGGGCTTGCGCATTATGAATCGATCAGGTGTGTGTGTTTGTGGGGATTGTGATGTGGAGTGAAATCAAATGTGTGTATATACAGATGTGACGGTACAGTTAGTTATGTACACACATATGTACATATAATACAAACAAACAAATAATAATGTACAGTGAAATATACAGGTCTGTACACAGATGTCTATCAATCGACATCATCAATTGTTCTCTTGTTCAGGTGTACGTTTGTGTGTATTTCGTGTGCAGTCGAATCGTCTATTCATTGAGGAGGTGATCGGGGGGAAGCCCCTGTTCGTAACGGTCCCACATCCGTCGGAATAGCTTCTCTAGGTCCCTAGCATAGAGCTCGGTGTCGAAGAGCGGTGCCGTCATGCGTGCCTCCTGTACTCGTGATCGCAGATTTGCCAGCCTGAGAGAGGAGAGAGAAAGGGTTTTAATAATAAATCTGCCTTTACATCGGAAACAAACCAGGAACACAATTTGCTCTTTCTAGTATATACCTGCATCCTCTAATGCAATTGAGACTTGAGTAGTGTTCATGTTTTGCTCACCCAATTTTATAAAGGAGATCATAGGCTAGTAATAATTATACAGTGTTAGAACTTACTCTCTTGGGTGAGTCCCTAACCGGACAGCCATCTGCACATAATCCTCTCGCGACCCAGCCACCAGTTCCGGGAACCCGAGGGCCATCAGCTGAGAGGCCGCCACCCGTGAGGCGAGGGTTGCCAGGGGCAACGTCAGGACCGGAGTCCCCGCCCACAAAATGTCCATCCCTGTCGTGTGTCCGTTGCAGAGCGGCGTGTCGAGGCAGAGATCCGCCAACTGGCCTCGACGTACGTGCTCCTCCTTCGAGGCCACGTGTGAGAAGATTATCCGTCCCTGGGGCACCCCTAGTTTATTGGCAGTGTTAATCACGTTTGCCTCGCCAGCTGCCGGGAACCGAAGGAGCCAGAGCACGCTGTTTGGGACCTGTTTGAGAATAGTCGCCCAGTTTTCAAAGGTCGCGGGGTCGATCTTGTAGAGCTGGTTGAAGTTGCAGAAGACGATTGCGTTCTCCGGGAGACCGTACTGGGTCCGGGTGGTGAGAGGGAAGTCGGTGGGCATTAAATAGGGAGCCTCCACGCTCGGCGGAGGAGGCTGTTGTGTTGGGGTCTGCGCATGCGGTGAGGGTATTGTCACTAATTGCTGTTGCTGTTGTTGTTGTTTTTGTTGTTGCATTTGTAGTTGGTGGTGGTGTTGTTGCTGCATTTGTTGTTGTTGTTGTTGTTGTTTCAGTTGTTGTTGTTGCTGGAGCTGCTGGGCCAGTAGATAGGTGTGGTGCTGCTGCTGTAGTTGCTGCTGTTGAAGAATGGACGAAGCCAGCTGCGGGTGCATCAGCAGTGACTGAGCCTGGAGCATGTTGAGCGACAAGTTCTGCTGCATCGCATGCAGCTGCTGGGGCAGCATTTGAACGGGGACTTGGACCGTGGAGGCCTGCTGAATCTGCAGCTGTTTCTGCTGCAGCTGCTGCTGCTGCTGAAGTTGTTTCATTGTGACCGCGACCGGATGTGTTGGTTTTTGGATCTTGCCCTTGATGACAATGACTCCTGCCTGCGAGTCGATGGAGCGCAGGGCTTCCTCGTTTGTCGTCCCGTTGCCCGTGCTGAGAAGGTGAGGGAACATGTAGCGATGGTCTCCGACAAAGAACGTGTGCGGCATGTAGGCAAGCTTCTCGGAGTACTGCTGGGTGAGGTTGATGGGGGAGGTCACCTTGTCAGTGATGATGTAATCCATGTATTCCGCGCCACTGGAGCCTGGGTAACCCAGCCACATGACCTGGTGTGTCAGAGGGAGGGGAAGGGGCGAATGAAAGAGAAGGCGTGCATTTTTAACCACATACAGTGGAACCTCTGAAAAAGGACACTCTAAATAAAGAACACCTCTCTATAAAGTCAGTATAAGGCTCCGAATAAAGGACACTTTTGATGCCCCATTTACCCTGCATGGTGTACCTTATTCAGAGCTTTCACCATCCTTCTACTTGGGATTTATATACATACACCCACACACACACACACACTACGCACACACTTTTGCCATCATATCCACATCCGCGGGGGCACTTGCCTAAAATGTCTACACCAGCAACCCAGAGAGAGAGAGAGAGACGAGAGAGAAAGGGAAGCAAGTGGTTGACAAGATTCCAGCGGTAGTCACGGAGCCAAGAAGAACGGAAGAGGTATGCTCGCAATTAACAAAACACGTCGCGATGAATTGTCTAAGACATGTGGCAGCTATACATACACGTAGAAGGCAACACACCGCAAAGCAAGGGACAAATTTGTTGCAATACCGCAGCACTAATAAATGATACACGGCAGCAGCATGTCTGTGGGTGTAACATATACCTGTATTGGAGCTGGTCTGAGGGCAAATATCTCATTCCTTGCTCCCTTTGTGTAGCCGTTCATGTTGACTAGAATGTGGATTCCATCGGAATTGATCCTGTCCGCCGCCTGGCCATTGTCAGGGATCTGATGGAGGGTGAGGTGTAAGAGGAGGGACGGAGCAAGAAAAGGAGGAAAATGGGAGGATGGGGAGGGGGGAAGGGGGGGGAGAGAAGGGAGGGAGGTAAAGACCTACTGTACGGCACAGCAAGTCACATTCTCCTCAGTGGGATTAGGGACTGTACCAACAGCTATTCAGAGTATACACAAACCATCAGTAGGCCGCTAATTGCTTCCCAAGCCACTTCAATTACACTAAAAGGCCCACATTATTAGCACAGGGAGATAGGCACAGGCCACACAATAGTCTCCTCTACCAAAACAGCCCCAGCCTCAGACTATAGGCATGGGCATAAAACATTTTGCTGACTCTAAAAAGTTTCGAAGTGTTGGAAATACACAGCTTCATCTTTCAAGAGAACCTTTCTCGACAAAAGGTTTCGTGAATTTTGCAGTTAAGTACTATTCGATGAATACTTGAGTTTTAGCGTTTTTTGTGCACAGTAGTATAATAATATGTACTTAGACCCACCTTAGACAGGTCGACAAAGTGCTCAGACTCGGTGCTTATCTTTTTCCTGAAGCTGGTGTTGTCATCGACGGAGAGAGAGTAGCAGAAGATCTCGACCGAGATCTGGTCGTGGAACCCGGGGATGCTCTGCATGAGGTGGGAGGTGGGGTGGTTGCAGAAGTCAGAGGACAGGTAGCCGATGCGCAGTCTTACTCCTCCTCCTCCTCCTCCTCCTCCGCTGGCAGCCAGAGTCTTGGGGAATGTGTAGGGTGTTTTGTGGAGTGTGGCCACCTGAGAGAGAGAGAGACGGAGGTAAGGAAAGAGGGAGGAGAGAGGGAACTAGCGGTAAACTTCTTTCTACACGAGTAAGGTTAGCTGAAGAAACAAAAAATCCTGTGAGGAAAAGCAGTTCCCGCATTTAACCCTCTTTCTGTTCACCAAACTGCAGACCCTCACGTCGACTGGCTCTCTCTCTCTCTCGCTCTCTCTCTCGCTCTCTCTCTCGCTCTCGCTCTCTCGCTCGCTCTCTCGCTCTCTCGCTCGCTCTCGCTCGCTCTCTCGCTCTCTCGCTCTCTCTCGCTCTCTCGCTCTCTCGCTCGCTCGCTCTGCTCTCGCTAACCTTCTCAATGCAGAGGGAGGCATGTCGAGCTGCGATGCCCTTCTTCTGCTCGTGGGTGAGAGGGTACAGCATGGAGTGGTGAGGATGGACCGAGGGAAGTCTGTTCTTTGCCAACTGGTCGTCCACCACCTGAACAATCTTCTGCATCCTGTCTTCGTAGTCCGTCCAGTCACACGCAATCTACGAGTCAAAACCACAATGTAATGATGATGTAATCACGATGCCAACACTACGAACCCAGCCTTACAAAGTGTCAAAGCACCAAAAACTGGATGATACTGAAGCAGTGGTAGCAATGCCCACAATCCCTGGCATACAACCGATGTGTGAGTCAGAATGCAACTTCAATGTATGGTTATAATGGATCCATGCAACATGCAATAAGGCACATCTATGAACATTATCCCACCCCACAGAGGTCATGTTTACCTGCAAGCAGTGAGCAAGGTTGCAGAAGGCATCGGGGAAATCGGGCTTCAACTTGAGGGCCATTCTGTACGAGGAGATTGCTTCTAGAACGTTCCCTGAGTCCTTGTAGATGGATGCCAGGTTGCTGTGGGCGTCGGCAAAGGCGGGGTTAATCTGTATCGCACGGGAGTAGCACTGCATTGCTCCGTTGATGTCCTGCATCTCCTTGAGAGTGTTGCCCATGTTGCTGTAGGCATCGGCAAAGTTGGGGTGGATTCTAATGGCCTCCTTGTAGTGGCAGAGGGCCTCCTGGAGTCGCCCCTGCATCTGGAGGATGCTGGCTAGATTGGAGTGGGCTGCTGCGAACTCTGGGTTTATCTATGACGGGGGGGGGCAAGAAGGGAAAGAGGGGAAAGACGGGAAGGGAGGGAGAAGAAGAAAAGGGAGGGAGAAGAAAGTGAATGAAGCAGTGCCTAACCAAACCCGTTGGAGGCTTAGTAACCAAGCAAACAAAACTAGGTGAACACGTTTGATTTAATTTCACTGTCATTCATATTATACAGTACAATGTGTCTACATATTATAATGGTAGTATCATAAGCCTACTACACATGGGTACTTTCAACTTTCAAGTGCTTCAACCGAAGTGTGTACTGAGCAATAAACATCTCCCTCTACCCTTGACTAGTGGAAGAGGGGGAGGCAAGGTTTGAGCCACTAGAGCTCTGTGCCAAGGACACTCACAAGGAAATTATAACCAATTCACTGGCTACCCTCCAGGCAAAGACTTGCGCACACATCTGCCTTGCCTGACTATCTACCGTAGGGATGGGCATGGTACCTAGCATCATAGATGTACTACAACTATAAGCCAACCACTTGCACACCAGCACGGAGGTGTGGGTCTGCCTATGTGGATGGCAACAGGAGTCTGACAGCCGTAAGAGGCAGCCCAGGGCTGAAGCCACCCACGGACTCTGTGGTGACTCAGTGTGCATAGCTCTCACACGATTGGCATTCCTTCACTCACACACCAGCTGCACGCCCTACCCTATGCGCATGTGTGTAAGACTGCAGGTTTACACTGGCACAGACTTCCCTCTACCAGTAGCTGGTATAGCGGAACCGCTCTCTAAGGAAACCCCTGAAATGAGGACACCTCCCTAATAGCTTCCCAATAACAGCACATGCGCTCAACCTAACCCCTGAAATGAGGACACCTAACTAATATGGACACACTTTTGTCAGTCCCAGAGGTTCTGCAGGCTATATATAAGAGATGGGATGATGGGAGCTGACTAGGGACGTTATTGAAGCAATTTGTATGGGTATCAATGGGAGAGTCCTCCCACCTGTGATGTGCTCCTAGAGGAGGATGTGACCTAACTTGTAAGGAACTTAACATCCTCCCAATGTGGTATATACAGATACCATATAGAGTGCAGGAAGGGGAGGGAGTAAGAGGTGGGCCAAGCAGTCATGGTGTGGAGTCCAGTAAGGGACATCTTGCTGTATTTGCTCCCCTAGGCAAACATTAAACCCGCCAAACAGTCAACACCCTCTCTTTTCCCATTTCCATTCTCTTTCTCTTCACAGCCCATTTCCCCACCTCACAAAGACTAGGTGATACACCAGTAGGGCACTGAGAACTGTAGCCCACCAAAAACCCTCCTTGCATTCCTCACCTCTAGAGCACTTCTATATAGAGTGACGGCCTCGTCAATAAGACCTTGCTCTCTTTTGATGTTTGCCAGGTTGTTGAGAGAGTCTGCGTGTTTCGGCTCCATCAGGAGAGCTGTCCGGTAGTTCTCCTCTGCCTCTGCTACCTATGACATCATCATGACATCATTAGCAATGCCATCATTATTACATCATCCCAACCTGTGACATCATCGTGACATCTTTAGCAATGGCATCATTATTACATCATCCCAACCAGATGCATGTGTAGTCTAGTCTATTCACCCCCACACACACACACACACACAGGTGTGTCTAGCCGAAATAATCACCACATGTAAAATCCCATACAGCAAGTACATGCGGTACGTACATGTTGTAAATCATACGCAGAAAGAAGGCACCAGGTGCCATCTGCCAACACTATACTAATGCAATGGCGTGTACTCACTAGTAGAGTTAATGCACTCTGACTGTGTTCAGGAGTGTTTTGTCCTTTGCTTATTTATACCTTTCCCTGTTCTTTCAGAGCGTTGGCTAGGTTGCAGTAGGCATCCGGGAAGTGAGGTTGGAGCTCAATGGCTCTTCGGTAAGTGTCTACTGCTAACTCGATGAGTCTGGGGAGAAAGAGAGAGAGAGAGGAGAGACAGAGAGAGAGAGAGGAGAGGGAGGAGAGAGAGAGGAGGGAGGGAAGAATAAGAGAGAAACAAAAATTGAAGCAAGTGTAGGAGTGGGCGTGAAAACTTGCTAAACCAAGGAACCACAGAAAAGCCATTCTGAGAGCTCAGAGCAGCGCGAGCGCTACACCCGTGAAAACAGATGCGAGAGGGCCCTGTGTGTCCACACACACACACGGCCAGAACACAATACCAAGGGTATGAATAGAGAAAACCAACAGAGAGAAATGGGCAGGCTCAATAGGAGGCTCACCCACACAACCCTTTATGAAAAATGCACGCATGCCGAATGCACGCTATACTACCGTATGTAAGTACATTGCATGCATGAAAAAACATGTTTATAGCATACTAGCAGTATAATATCAGAGGAAAAGAAAGAACCATACACACTTACCCTTGCTCGTAGTAAACACACGCAAGGTTCCCGTGAACTATGGCGTGGTTGGGACTGAGGCTGAGGGCACGGAGATAAGCAGCTACAGCTCTGTCGAATATCCTGGCCTCCTTCAGCACGTTGCCCAGGTTGATGTAGGCATCCAGGAACGACGGGTCCAGCTGAACTGCCTGGATAGAGAGAGAAGGAAAGAGGAGAGAGAGGGAACCTGAAAAGTGAAACGGTCTCTTATCAAGTAACACACACACACAAAAAACAGCAGTATTTGCCCGAATGGCCTACTACCGCCATTTGTGTACTAACTTCCTATACCAGGAACAGAAGAAGTTAAGAAGGAACACACGTGGACACACACCTTCTCAAAGTGGTGAATAGCGAGCCATATTTCTCCCTGTGCATTGTACACGCAGCCGAGGTTGCTCCATGCCACTGCAAATGCAGGCTGGGAGTCTATGGCCTTCATATAACAGCTCTGGAGTGAGAGAGAGGGAGAGAGAGAGAGAGAGCAGAGAGGGGGAGTGAGTGGTAAATGAAACATTGCCACTTTCCCTCGGATGACATACAACACCATTATAATTGCACACAGGTCACAATGCAGTGTATGTCAAAGCCTTTGGAGAGACGCGTTGAGTTTGAACAACACAGGCTAAAGTTCTCACTGGAGTGAGGCATGTGTGCACCCCCTCACCGCATCTGTTTGTTTTGTACACAGAAATTAGCTCACTTTAGCTCCATCGAGTTGACCGAGGGCCTTTAGAAGGTTACCCAAGTCACTCCTAACACCATACAAATCCTGCGAGAGAGAGAGAGAGAGCATAGGAAGGGTGGAGGATGGAGAGAGGGTTAAAACGGTGAGAGGAGGAGAGATAACAGAGAGGGAGGGTGGGAGAATGAAAGGCTCCTAATTGTCTTGGTCACTGGATGTCTTCCCGCCCCCCACACTCACGAACAAGGATTATTTTCACGCGATAGACACACCCCTCACACGCCAACAACGAGAGACAGAGGAGAGATGGGAGTCAGCACCTCAGACAATGCAACATTCTCACTACATCGCTGTATATACACTTTCTGTGTGGCCGTGGTGTATAAAGTCAGACCCACAAACCAGACATCCAGACCATAAGGGGAAAAGCAGGTCCCACTGGGTGACCACGACATTCACAAATCAAGTCAAGGATTAAGAAGATGGAAAAACTGGTAGATTCAGAGACGAGAGCTGTACACATGTTCCATTGAGACTAGACTAGGGTTTAAAGTTGAGAGTGTGGGTACAGTACCGTCCTATAGTCAAAACTCTCCAACGGCATAGTATAGGTTTGAGTGGGAAAAGAGACTGCATTTACATAGTCATAGTTGACAGTACTATGGTGGTCTAGTGTGCACACAAGCTATCTCGGTCCTTTACTGGGGGAGAGCACTTCGTGCTTAGATGACTGAAGCAGACAGAGTTTGACAACCAAGTAAGCTCAGGTTTTGGGCGTCACGTTGGAGGAGAAGGGGGGAGGGAGGAAGGACAGCTGTGTAGCAATCCGACAACAGCTGCATTACTCCTCTCTACTGTAGCATGTCAGTCTCACTGCAGCACCAGGTCACACCCCAACAGAACATGCGAAATTCCACGAACCAGACCAAGAGCTTGTCAGGGACGGCACCTTTAGCTAGGTGCCGGTTTGCTAATTCAGATCTCTTATATTATAAAGGAGTAGGCGGTACCGTTTATTTAGCCTCTCTATCACATATGGGCCTTACCTTCCTCATTCCTTACCCACTAAACTACCCAAATCTCTCCCACTATCTTGAGCGCAATCCAACCACAGGGGGCAGCTTTTCAAGCCTACACAAATCCAACATAGAAGAAAAACTATATGTCCCACACTGTTCAGGCCGGTCCCGGGCCCACACAATGTGGTGGATAACTTCACAGAAAGCCCAAACCTCTCAAAATTTCTCCCTTATAAGCTTCCCACTGTACTATATATACACACCTGAACAGACATCTACATGTATGGAGTTTCCCACCATTAGTTCACAGAGAAACCCACTGTAATGATGAAAATGAAAGGGGTTTACTCACAGGATTGTACTTGAGAGCTGTCATGTAGGCCTCCACTGCCTGGTGTAGCTCGTTGGCGGCCACAAGCGCTGCGGCGAGATTAATGTAGCCGTCCACAAACTCGGGTTTGAGTTGGATTGCGCGACGGTAGTGTTCCAGAGCTTCGGGCAGCTGTCCTCTCTCTTTGAACACGTTGCCGAGGTTTGAATAGGCCTCCGCCAGGAGAGGGTTCTTTTTGATGGCTAGGGTGCTAAACTGGGCAGACCTAGAAGGCAGGAGAGGGAGAGGGTTGGGGGAGGGAGAGAGAAGGAGAGAGGAGGAGAGAAGTGGGAGAGGTAGTTCCGGAACAACTGAATCCCTCTAGGCAACATACATACACACCTGCTTGCTATACAAACACCATAGTAAGAAGGCTTGACCAAGTCTGCTATCAGCACAACTCTCACAGTCACTCACAGGTCTCATAGTAGCTTTCCTCCACATGATACCACATATGCATACCTCTCTCTCCTAATCCAGACACCAATGGGACAGAATAAAGTTAGCGAGGTGTCCCTATTGTAAACTGCGTGCAAGAACTGTTCTTGGGGCAAGAAAAGGTGCCCTCGTTTCAGAGGTGTCCTCATTTAAGGTTATAAGAGAAGGTTACCAGGTAAGAGTGATCTTGTCTTATTGGCTGGGGCACTATGTCTGTGTAGCAGTGGGCCGTTCTATGACTGGATTGTGGAACAGATTGACGCTGTACGCTGACCCCTGTCTGGCATTGACTGCCAATGCTCGCTGTATGGTGTGTGTCATTTGAAGCAGCTGTGTGATGTAACCAACCCAGGAGATGTACAGGAACAGTAGCTGGGGTGTACAAAGGGCAGCCTAAACATCCCAGGGCACGGATGGCCCCACACCAGCTGCCTAGTCGAGGCACCCATTCAACAGAGAACGCATCTGCCACCTCACAGAGGAGTCACCAGAGGAGTCAGCCAGCTCAAAAAAAATAGCTTGTTTTAGTCTAGCAAAGCTAACCAACAACAGTCTTTTGCATTGTGGCAAAATTTCATAGTGTGTCCTGGCGGGAAATTTGAGGTTCTCCTATATAAAAAGCTATTTCCTTAGGGGGCTCTCCTACCAAAACATCAGCAGTGCCTAGTCTCTTGCACTGTCTACTATCTCACTAGTGATCTCTATGTTTCTCTCATAGTGAGGATTTCTTGGCATGCACCCCACCAGCCACCATTGACGGTGAACACAGCAACTCCCTCCATAGGTCTGTAATATCCACTGAACACTGGGACGGCAACTGAATGGACCTTGTGCTGTATGTTGTAGTCACGGATTAGGTCAGAAACAGAACACCAACAAGAAAGAGTGTCCTCTCTCTATCTCCTCTTCCTTTCTTGGTCACACTTGCCAGATCCCCCCCACCCACACACACTCTCTCTCTCTTTCCAATCCTCTTCCTACTCACTTGTCTAATCTCCGGCACTGGAAATGTATGGAGGAGAGTAGCAGAAGGCAGCCTGTGTTGTCTGGCTCTCTGTTCCACAGCTCCATGCACAATTGCTCTGAATAGTCGTAGTTCCCCTGCTGGTATTCCCCATGAGCCAGCTCTGCTAGGGTGGCTGCACATGTAATGAGAGAGAGAGAGAAATTATGTTACAGTTCAATGTACCACTGCATCAAGTACGCATTATGCAAGTTACTAAAAACCGGATACGTGTCTTACACACATGAATGGGTGAATGCACATTTCTGACAAAACGGACAAATCTGTCCGTGAGGGAGTGGAGCCAGTTCCCTGAGGTGGGGATGTGACACTATGAGTTGGAGAGGAAGTTTGAGAAAAAAGTGTGCTTTACTTCCCAATTGCAATGCAATGGGTACATCAGTCCCAGCTGTAGGCTGGTAATAACACCAACAGTGGACTCACCGGAATCCAGCTTCTCCAAAAAGTGATAAGGGTCCGTCTCTAGCGCTCTTGACTGGCCGTTTTGGTAGACAAATTGGCGCAACATCATGGACGCCGCAGCTAGGTAGTGTATATACCCCGAACGCGCGAAGTGAGTCCTTTGAACGAGTATTATAGTACGGGGTGCGGGGCTATATACACTACTGACACCATGCAGAAGAACGGAGTGGTGGCCGTATCGTCGATTTCAGAGAAACTGAGCCCGTCCGAGAGACGACTGCATCAATCTTCGAGCGCGTGTCACACCCCCTTTCTTTCGGGGGCCCTCGTACGCAGGATCGGCGACCAACGAGCGAGACTGAGGACTCGAGATGGCCACACGCAACGATCTGCCGCCTCACAGCTCGCCTATCCCAGACTCTCTAGCACTGCCGTCTCTCCTGCAACTGCCGCGGCTTCGTTACCCTCTGCGGACGTAGAACGGCCATTTTCCAATTACTACGTTCTGCGGTTTGTTATGTCATCAAACCGGAGTCTGATTGGTCAGATTCGCATTCTTGGCGCGTGACCGAGGTTGACGGCGCGCGCAAGCGGCAACTTCAAAAAAACAGACCTGAAGATCGAGGGAAGAGGAGAGGGTGAATCATCAGCCTATTTGGTGTAGGAAAGACTCACTTACCTCATGGCTAGCACAGAGGAAGACACAACTGCAAACTTTACAACCCTCTCAACAACTTTTGAGACCTCCAGCTCCAAGCTGGACATTACCAGGTTGCCTACTAGCTATCTTCCCCCCTCCCCTTGTGGCCCCTGTAATCATGAGCCTCTCGTTGCCTCCAGAGAGGAGCTAGAGAAGCGACAGCTGCTGCACAGGATCGAGCTCTTGAAACTGGAGCTCTCTCAGAGGACGCTGCTCATTGACACGCTCAGAAAAGAGCAGTCAAGTCAGGTATACATTCACAAACACACACGTGTGATACCCTTACCCACCTACATGTGTCTCTATAGTAGCTCCTGTGGGTGCGTGTATTGAGCTCTACAAACAAAGCTTGGAGACTCTATAATGCCAGAATGCCCTTTGGCCATAGAAAGCATGTGAATCCTTGTGCAGCTAGGCAGTACGTATACTTATGGGTTGGTTGCAGCAGGCAGTGTGATATGGACCGCTCCCGCCCTGCCTAATTGAATAGTGATTGTGCCCATTGTGTGTTTGCCAGGTTGAAGAGCTTCGAGAACAGCTGGCCAATGTTTTGCACCAGCGAAAGATGCTCCACTTGAAGCTGAAGTCTTCAGCACACGTACGTACGCTCCATTGTGGTGTTGTATATTTTTTAGAAACTATGAGTCGATTTTAGTGTTTCTGTTTTTAGTTTCACGAGCAGGAAGTTGTGCATCTCAAGCAGATGGTTCGTGATTTGGAGGAAAGGCGAGAGGAGGAGAGGAGGAGAAGGGAGGAGGGTGAGTGTGAGGAGGGGAGGGTGGAAGGATGGGAGGGTGTGAGGGAGACAGTGAGGAGTGCGCTACACCTTCCCCCATTGTCAGAGGAGGAATACATAACGTCTGTGGCATGCGAC